TACATATATACATACATATGTACGTACATATATACATACATATGTACATATACACATACATACATATGTACATATACACACACACATATATATATACACATATATATATATATATATATCTACACACACATACACATATACACACACATATATACATGTATACATATACATATATACATACACACACACACACACACACACACACACACACACACATATAAATAAAAGTTGCACCAGAGAATCGGTGGTCTCCACTGTGGTTACAGATCTTCTTGCTGAAGTTAAAGTCCCTGCAGCGCTCGGCAGTTAGTACAGACGCTCACCTTCCTCTTGACCAAGAAATCACACGTCGACGCCCGCTCTAGTATGATCGGGTCTGCGTTAGATAAGGGCTCTTTGGGGGGCAGTCCCTGGCACACGGCGTACTCCTCCAGGCCCAAAAGCAGGCCGACCACTTCAGTCACAGAGGTGAGGCGTGCCGGGTACTGGTCGTACAGCGGGTGGGTGGGAAGCAGCGGCTGCTTTTGGACGGTGACCTGGTAGCAGAAGCCCGGGTCGATCAGCACTATGGTGTCACTCAGGCTGGACTGTTTAGAGCACTGGATGAGCTGCAGCTGCGGGCCGTCCACCATGATGGCGTACCAGAGCATCGGCATTGCAGAGGAGCGCAAAGACTGGAGCAGTTTCATCAGCTGGTTTTCTATGTCTGCACCACTCCCAGACGGGGTGTCAGCAGTCAAGCTGAAGATCTGTGTGATCTGCAGAGAGCAACAGAGGGCATTATTACGGGGAGATATATATAAATATATTCCGACAACTAATGTGAAAAATCTAAGCAGGACAATTACCATGGGCAACTCCTCCTCGTCGTCATCTTCTTCTTCTTCCTCCTCCTCCTCCTCCTCCTCTTCCTCTTCCTCCTCTTCTTCATCATCATCATCGTCATCGTCAGCATCATCCTCCATTTCTTCAACATGCTTTCGACTGTCTCTGGCTGCATGTGATTTCACTGCATCCCATCTGCTTTGCTGGTCCTGAATTGATAAAGAGTATTTACTACCGCTGCCGAGAGTGAAAACTCGGTAATTCGTGTGCAATTAAAAAAAATCAAATAAAGGTGAATTTCAGCCGCATCAAATCAGCTTCAAACTGCAAAGCCTTGTATTGATTACAAAAGTAACTATTAGTATTATTTAGTAATAGATCATGGGACAGTTCTACACCTCTAATAAAAAGCCAATGGTACTACCTTTTACAGCGGAAGTATTCTCACCTCCACTGAGTGTAAACTGGCTTTGAGCCAGCGGTAGAAGCTTACACTCAGCAGTTTATTAAACAGTCCTGCGATAAATCCCACATATATGAAGGTTCAAATGTTGCGTAAAAGGTGTTGATTCAACTGTATGATCATTTAGGAGGCTGTAGTGGGGTGCTTTTTTTTATTTTATAAATTGTACTGCATTATACAGACGTGTATTTTTAATCATCCGTCTATCTTTATCATTTATAATGGGATGCACTAAATATTGGAGACACCTCTTAGTGTGACAAAGCACAATGCAACAGCATCAGAAACTACAGTCATAAAGTTGGATCAAATCTTCTAAAACAAAAAAAAAAAACTGAACATTAAAAGACAACATATATCCATCCACACAAGCACACCGTGTTCCTTTCAAGGTTGATGAATGTTTTTGGTACGGATTGAAATTACTGTGGACTGGTGAAAAAAAAACAAAAAAACAAAACCTGGTCAAACAGAGTTGGAAGCGGGCCTGGATTCATCCCACTGAGCCACAGGACAGAGAACAGCATGACAACATAAGGAAGTGGACAAGGTGCCAAAAGCATTGGTGAAGGAAAGTGTAAACAGGAAGCCACGGTGACTCACACGACAGACACAATAATTCGGCCTGATGGAGGAAAATATGTAGATTATTACGAGAACAAAAAAGAAGGAAGAATGTAAACCTACTAGTTGAGAGTTGTTGTGGTTGCCGCTGATGTGAGGAACTCGGTCAGGAAGCCCATTATGCAGTCTGAAATCTATTGGACTCAATTGCTGAAAGAAGAGAAGTTGACATTGTGTTTGGTGAGATCGGCGTGACATAACAAGAACACGTAGATAATAGTAATCCATTATCAAACCTGCGAAGATGATGGGTGGTTCTTTATATCCAGTTCATAGAAATATTTGCTACCACTGGCTGGCGCAGTGCTCCAGTTAATCTACAGCAGAGAAAAAGAAGCAAAGTAAGACGAAGAACTAAAGAAATGATTCTTTAACGTTGAGGTTTTAGCTGCAGGAGAATGCAACTATGTTAAAAAAAAAAAAAAAAAAAAATTTTTATCACCGCATTGAGAACTCACTGCTTTTAAGTTACAGTCATCGTCTTCATTGTCGGTGAAGTCCAGGCCATACTGTGATCCTCTACTCTTCTTAAAACATGACTTCCGGCTGTATGTGTAGTGAGGTCTCGGCCGGCCCGGCAGCAATTGGGCATCTGGCCCGTGGTCTGCTTGTCCCATTTGGTAAGGCAGCAAGTGTCTCTGCCAAACGTTGCAGGAGATATTTAAAAACCAACACAGTTACATCCTTGCCGCAAGGAACAACACATTCGCTAAGACAAAATAAAGCCCCACCATTGCCTGTCTCTGACACTGGCGTAGTCGACACTTCTGCCTCTTCTTGTTGCTGCCTCCAAACTTGGGTTTGTCTACACAGAAATCACAAGTGCCGCAGTCTTTCCTGCAGAGACAGGCTTTACATTCTCCACAGGACCGTCGCTTCCGCTTCTTATGCCACTTAATAATAAAGAACATTATTAAAGAACAAGAGACATTGTTTTTAATGCAATTACTTTTAACACTGCCGGTAGCAAAATGATGTTGATAACAGAAGATATTAACACACACAACCCTGGTGAACCCAAATGATCAAATCGCAACATACTCTTTTCTAATGAGACAGGCAATGTGTTTCCATGCACCTGGTTTTATGCCCATTTTTTAAATTTGCATATTAAAAATAAACACCAGAAATTCGGAGAATAAAAATGTCAATATAAGTGCACTGTAAACAGCCTCATGGGTCCGCTCCACTGAACGTCAGGTCTGTGAGGAGCGATGAGGAGGCTGTAACCTTCCTCAAATTAAAAAAAGAAACATAATAATGCTAAACTTTCATCACATGGTTCTTCATCATTTTAAGTTTGACGGGCGCTCTTTTAATCACAGCAGTGGATAGAAACATGCATTCATTTGTGTTCAGTTTTGCCGGTTTTCTGGAAATAATATGAACACATATCATTCATCTTTAACACCTATGACCATCCCGAGAATACAAACGGAGAGCAAAACATACTGCAGATGTGGTTTGAGAAGTTTCTATCACAAAATAGATTTTTTTTTTTAGGCAATCACATCTTTGTGTTTTTGGGACAGTGGGTTTTTAAAAAAAAAACAAAACAAAAACACTCACATCATCATCATCGTCAGTTGACATGTCATCGTCATCATCGATGTCCACGTCCACGTTGACTGAGAAGTTCTCCGTGTCGCTGCTTTTGAGACTCTGTGTCTGTGGGTGCTGTGTGAATCAAACATCATCAGTCAGAGTGGGGGAAATATGTCGCAATGATATTAAGTATTATAAATAGAGATTTGGTCTCGTATTACAAAAAAAAACGTACCTGCGAGTCTGCAAATTCACTCTGTAAAAAAAAAAAAAGAGTTGTTAGAACTTACATTACAACCTAGATTGTGGAATATTTGGAATAACCGAACAAAGTCTGACTGTAAACGTAGATCTGATCTCTTTTTAAATACGTACATATTAGTGGATTATTACCTGGAAACTCATGCTGTCATCATACATGATGTCAGGAATGTCATTATAAGGCTTCTGCGGCAGGAAGCCTCCACTTCCAGGGCCCTGGTGGAACATACAGGGCAAAAAAGTTACATAACGAACAATAAGCGTCCAAATAAACAAAAAAAACCTGTTGTGTACCCGGCAGCTCACCTTGCGAATGGGACATATACATTTGCGTTTCCGACATAAGCGTTTCCTGGAATCTGGGCTCTGCAGTCCATGCTTGCAGTTGGCACACTGCCCACAGTTCGTTGTGTTGTGGCATCCCACGCACTGTCCACAAGGAATCCACTTCAGATGACATGAAGGAGAAAAAGATTTGTTTATTCAATAATACCCATGTCTCATTTGTATTTTCATCAGTATTCTAATTCTGGAAACAACAGAGTGTTGTAGAATTAAGAATATATGGTTTAAATAATGTGTATTTTACGTTCCCAATGGAGCATATGCTTAGGTTTTGGCTCGTTAAAGGGGGTAAAATGCAGCTGTTCAATGCTTTACCTTTCTGAAACGAATCATCGGATGCTCTTTTGACTTTGAGGCCGCTGGAATAAACAGAAATAAAGAAATTAAATGAGTGCCCCACCTCCTTCCTATTTCGAACGCTGACTTTCCCTCAGAATCATGACATCGCACACAAATAAACCGACTTACCCCAACAGTTGGGACAGCAGGGCCTCTTCCTTTGTTTGTCATACCATGTGCCTGTGAAGGAAATTCCACATCTGGCACAGACCCTGCAGGGAAGCATAACACTGTTATTTGTAATGTAACTCAACACAAACAAACCATTTAGATTTTAAGTGCATTGATAATTACATCAGCAGTTAAATGATGAATATGTGAACTTAAGTAAAAATGGACTAACAGCGTGCTGTCCTCTGACCCAACCTCTCCGTTTATGGAGGGGAGCAGGAGCGCTCTGGACGATGAGGGGAGGGGAAGTTTAATTCTATCTTCAGCGGGTGGATCCTCACTGCGAGAGCCTTTGTTAGGAGTTCCTATTGTACTGTGCAAGGAGAGACTTGTCTGGTTGGACTGGAGGCTTTTACGCCCCGGACTGGGGGTGGGCGTGTGGTGCGAGTCTGGAGTGTCGGTGCCCTCTCCTCTCTCCATCCAGCTGGACTCTGAGGATGAACGCTCACGGACTTTTCTCTGACGGATAAGACAGAGGGGGAGACTAACTGTAATAAACGCACGCACGCACGCACACACTCACACAATGTTTTAAGTGATAATAAAGGCCTTTACCTTTGCTCTGTGTCGTATTCTTATGGGTGGTGCTTCGCCATCGTGAAACTTTCCTGACTTGTATTCAAAGGTTGACAAGTCAAGCTGTCCCTCCATCAATGAAATCAGCTCCACTCGGCTTCTCACTCGATCGCCCCGCGGACTGTTAAGAAAAAAATGAATTAAACTTCAAAGAGCTGGAGGACAACCACTAAAAACAACAACATCCTTTTGTCATTCAGTCACATGCTTCTGCTTCGATAATGAGAAAACAACCCTTTTAAAAAAATGTATTAGTGCTGCAAAAAACAATTATTGTAATTATTGATTTATCTACAGATTATTCTTTTGATTCAACAATGGTTTATTCTACGAAATTTAAAACACCAATCAAAGGGTCCCAGAAGCAAAGGTGACACCGTGAAATTGATAATTCCAACCAGTTCACAAAGTAAATGCATCATAAGATTGTTCTGCCTCATGAATTTTAAACAACTGTACATTGAGATTGTCGACATTTCTACTCGGCAGCATTTACCTCAGGTAATACACATCCTTCTGTCCAATGCTGGAACCTGAGCGCCGGACAACTTCTTTGCGTTTCCAACCTTCTCCAAGTATTGACCATTCATCCCATCCTTCATCAGGATGGGATCGCTTACGGCGGGGCATTTGAAACCTGATTATTAAAAGAGAAGATGGGAATTATACATGTTAGGAATCTTTATACCGTATGGGAAAACAGGAAAATATGTTGTGTGAGATATAGTTTCAATAGACTGAGGCAAAGTTGAGCTGATGTTCCTCTGAACATAACTATTTAACCTTATAAAACCGTACATATGATTATACTCTATTTCCTACCAAACAGCTAAGAACTTTAACCTCCATGCTAGTGTAACATCGTTTTGTTGTCATTCCATTTAATCAAAAAATATTGAATTCAGTCAGAAAATTATTACAGCATCTTAGCACATGTGCATCACCAACGCCAGCTCTATAGTGAGAGAGGAAAGGATGCTTGCACTTGGCCATAAAATCAAGATAACGCTGTTGATTATCAGACTACGGGACAAGATATAAGGGCAACCTACTGATAAACTTTTTTGAAAACCGTCTCGCCCGCCACGCTCTCACTCCTTTCACTTTCTCCTGCCAGGCTGTCCTCCTCATAGTCATCCTCCTCAAGCGGCTCAAACCAGTCAACAGGAGGCTCAACACCAGCGGCCTTAGCCGCCTCGTCTGCTTCGTCTGGAGGTTTCTTCACAGGATCTGAGCTGTGGGTTTCCTGTGTTTCGACCCTGTCTAAGGGTGCCAAAGGCTCCAGTGCTGGTGTTGGTGCTGCCTCTGAGGTGTCGCTGCTTTTCTTCCCTGTGCTTTGTCCCTCCACATCTTTTATCACAGGTGCTCTGACAGGGACCGGGGTCTCCAGTGGTTCTTCGTTCATTGCTGCTGCTGCTGCACCCGCTCAGGATCCAAAGGTTACGATTGTTTTCCTGATGACAATTAAGATACCCTCTGCAGTCGCATCCCATTTAAAGCTGTGTGTGTGTGTGTGTGTTGTCACACCTGTCTGTGGATGCAGCCCCCCTGACCCTTGGGCCCCTAAGGTTTGGTTCATGCAGATGAGCCGTCAGGATGGTTGACAGCTGTTCAGTGAGTCATGACAGAACCTGTAAAAAAAATAAAATAAAAGAAGGTTTAAGCATGCTGTGTGCTAGACAGTTTGTAACGCCAGCATAGCTCGATGGGTATGCTATTGTCAGGTAACGTTAGCTTAATACAACGGACTACTTAGACATTGTTTTGTACCCGACGACAACAACTTGACGTGCAGACATTCACGTATGGTTATAGCACAACATGTCAACGTACATACAAGGCGACTTAACTAAAGGAACGGAATGGCAGTTATGCCCCAATTTAGTTACACGCTAGCTCTTATATTTAGTTAACGAAATACTGCTTCCAACGTGAGCTAACGCTAGCACTGGGTTGTAACGTAAAAGCAAACACAACGTCAGCGACACAGGCTAACCTCAAATGCCAACAGTGCGGTTACTGCCGACAGTGGTTCTCTGATATTTGGGGAGTATTTCTTAACGGGTAGTTTAGCGTACATACCACATAATAACGGCAGCTTGAGCAGAAACAATGAAATCGAAAGCGGGAGTAACGTTAGCGCACAGGAGTAACGCTCGAGTTAACGTTAGCTACCGTTAGCTACTAACGTCAATATGCTGAAATTGTTCCTCTGACTAGAGAGCCGTATATCGCTACCATTTTAGAAACGTTTGCGGTTATGAAGGCCAACAAATCACACACACCTTTAGGGTTATATATCACCAGATGTATTGGCACACCGGTCACCACAGGCACTACTTTACGAGGTAGAGCTAACGTAGCTAGCTGGTCTTCCATGCAACTGACACTAGCGGAAACGGTTGTTGGATCAAAGAAGGTAGATGCAAAACAAGATGCAAATCCGCTCTGACCCCGCCTACGGAGAGGACTATCAACACCGCACAGCACTGTTTACATAAAACAACTATATTTTACATGAACAAGTACAGTTACTCTTTTTTTCAATTTAACGCTAGTTGAATGAAAGGCATAAATCGATAAAAAGCTAAATTATCCACCATTACGTCTCTGTGACACGCAGGTGGGAATGATATATGAGTAACGTTAATCACTCTCATTTTAAGGTATTTCTTCATATCTAAATAAATTACCATATATCATTAACAACTGCAGGCAGGCCCTTTTAAGGTATGTTTTAGCTACATCAGCTAGCAACATTGGCTAGTGTTGCCATTAAATAAAGACCTGCCCAATCAACAGGCTAATGGGAGGGACTTATCTCATCCCGTTTTTATCCTCTTTGACAGCACGCTTCATTTGTCGTTATAGTGTGCTGCCTTCACGGGTCATTAGAAAGAGATGTGCGCGCTCTAGAGCGGCACTTGAAGGCAACAGTACTTTTTAAAATAATAAACTTAACGTTGTTCTATACCAAAATTAGATCGTCTTGTAATAATAGCTTGCTGTGCAGTGCCACAAACTACTCTTTGCATAAGATAGTGTAAATCAACTCATTCACTGCTATTCAGGCAATAAACAACGTGGAGGAGGGAACTTTGGTTGCTTTTTCGTACAATGTAAACAGAGGTGGGAGGAGCAAATATAGAATCAAGTGTAATGAACAAGTCAGTCGTTTTTATAACAATTTACTTAATCAATATGTATGTATTCATTTTAATCAAAGAAAACATTAATTATGATCAGAAATTAAGTATACTCATGCACAGGAACATAAAAGATGGAAACAGTCACACAATCCTGTCTCTAAATCAAACCAATCATAAAGCTGTGTCTGATTATTGACCAAAAAGGGACATCCCATCTAATTAGGAGCAGAGTAACGAGGTTTGAAATATGATGGCTGGAGAAATGTTCTACATTATGAATCCAGATCTGTTGTACTGTCTGCAGTCCATTATGACTTATACTATAAGTTCTATATGCAAAGTTTTGTTCTTCTGTATCTCAATGTTCAGATCCTCAAGTGGTTTCTAGTTATAGAAAGAGCCATGTTGTAATAGTCATAATAATGACAGCACCCTATGTACATTGTGTGTACAAAGGCTAATAGAAAAGATGGAACAACAAATGAAGTTTAAGGTGTTTATTCATGGAAAGCATACCGAAAACAGCTGTTTTCAATGAGCAGTAGCTTATCTACCACAGTCAGGAAAAAATATATATCCATTTACATCTTGCAGTTCATTATCATACAAAGATTTTAAAATATTATCGAGTTAAAAAAATCAGATTTCATCCAAATGGTAGTAATAGTTTCAATCCTTCACACTCAAAGATCAGAGAACCGGTGCAGACGAGGTCGACTACCGATCCTTGTTGCCCCGGAGATCTGTCGTCACGGGGTCGTGCTGAATAGTTTGGTGCAACATCAGCGCGAGCAGACCAGCTCTGTTGGTCATAGCGGTCCTGACGTTACGCTCCTGTTCGAAGAGCTCGTCCAACTTGTACCACTGTGGGGGAGAAAAGGGGGACTTTCAAGTAGGAGACTTCACCAGAAAGGCTTCTTATATCTGAATCAATTGAAAACGTGCTGCTGGTGTTTGACTTACCACCCTGACTCGCTCCAAGTCCACCTCTGCTCTCCTCAGCTTCTCCCAGTTGTAATGCTTGTTGCACTTCCTTTTGGAGATCCTGCAGTAGTCTCCAGTCAGCTCAAACACATTCTTCACCAGAGGACATCCACACACCTCCTCCGTTGGGATCTAGTGACCAAAACAACAGAAAAAAAACTAATATAAAAATGTTTTTATTGAGTCATGTAAATCATACAAGTGGCTGAGAGGTTTCCACTGACCTTAGGATCTCTGGAATGTTCTGGACACAAAACCTGCAGCCTCTTACAATAGGTTTTGCTTTGAGGATTGTATACATCACAGAAGAGTCTGGTCGCTCTGCGGAAAGAAAAATATACATGTTAGAAAAGGAACTGAATTCAGGAAAGTTGTTTTATACTTTGAGGGGATTTCTTTTTCTTACCCTTCTATCCTTGTCGGGTACATGGAACCAAAGGAGGTCTGACTCTCATACTGTCAAGAAAATCATTAAGGGGAAAATAAAATGTTACAAGTTGCCCATATGCTGTTGTTTGCATTTATATATTTGATGCAGCGCCAGGAATATAATATAGAATATAGTCACCTTTGCATAACATCTCTCCATATGTCTCAGCGCCACTTTTGGATTGATGGGATGACTACAAGACACACAGAAGATCTGCAGGTCTGTGTCCTCGCTGTCACCGTCATTCGCCTGCAAATAGAAACCAAAAAGAAATATCACGACAAAGCAGTTACAACAGAACGAGCCGTGTAGCTGCAGGAACAAGTGCGCAGGCTGCCGTCAGCTCACCTCCTCGTCCTGCAGAACCGCCTGCTGCTTGGCCTTGGCTATGATGCCCTCCAGTTCGTGGAAGTGTCGCTCCATCTCTGTGAGGCGCATCCGGGCGTTGTGCTGCTCCCGGCGGATGCGCTCCAGCTGCTTCTTGCCGTGCTCCTCGGCGATGCAGGGACTCTGCTGCCACTGCTGGATACGCTGAGGGAGGATCTCGTAGATCCGACTGTGGGACGAAATGCACACTGATCAATGCGTTTAAATGCTGAAAGAAAAATAAACAAGTCAACATGATGAGGAGTTTCCCCGGGTTGTGATTTAGTTAGCCGAGATGAAAAGCCTCAAACACTTTCCATGGGACACTACAGCAAGGAGAATGATAAGAAAGATAAAGAAGCAGAAGAATAAATAGTAATACTTCGTGACAAATCAACTCAAATTGCAAGTTTAAAATTGGGTTCAGGTTCCCAACAAAAACTAATGTAATAAACAGATCATTTTACCAGCATTTCACGCTTCCAACACTAGGTGGAGCAATAGTACTAGAATCGTTCCAATTTTTTTTTTTTTGGGGGGGGGGGGGGATCTCCAATAAGCAGCAAATAAATTAAACTTAAATTCACTTGAGATGTTGGCTTTGTTTGTTCACAGCGGGTATTCAGATTACGGTATCTAGCCTTATACACTCATGTCTGAAAGGTGAAGGTAGGGGTTCTTACTTGGCAGCTAACTTCATGCCACAGTCCTCGGAGCAGTATTTGGAGCTGGGTCTTGCTACCTCCACACAGTTCGGTCCCAGACACTGACGCTGTCCGGTGTTATCCCGGAGGTCGCCTTTCTCGCTGTATCTGGTTCTGTCTTTGTGCTTCTGCTTCTGTTTGTGGCGTCGTGATTCCTTCTGGGTGGTTTAAAAAAGAAGGGGTAGTAGACAGGAAGTTATAGATATGAGATGTTACCATCTGCCATGTTGACACCTAGCAGCATTTGAAATAATAAAGATAATTCATATGAGGAAACGTACTTTTTTGTCAAACTTCTTTTCTCTTCTCTTGACGTGCTTCACCTTCACCGCTTTTTTACGCACAACGGGACTGAAGGGCTGCTCGTCATCTTCATCACTATTCCATGCCTGAGTGAGGAGTGCAAACAAAAAAGGACTAAACATACAGTTCATGATCAAATGTTTTGGCTGCCGATTGAGTGCATCTGAGACGAGCGCGTTTATATGAATCAAGATGGTGTCAAATGTTGTACTACCATGTTGTTGTTAAGCCCGGCTGCCTTGTACTGCTGGTAGAGATCCGCCTCACTGTCGTAGTCATCCGAGTATCGTCTCCGTCTGTGGTAGGAATTGTCCCTCCTTTCACGCAAAGATTCCTCGTCCTTCACACGCAGCATTTTCTATACAAAAACAACAAGCAACAGGTTGCACATTTCCAAAGCAGCCACAAGGGAGTGCACGAATACATCAGAGATCAGGGACCGCTAATCACTTCATGGACTGAAACAAGGATCTTTTGATGACTTACAATACAATATATGAATGATACATTGTTATTCTAGTAACGGTACTTTCAAGATCCATCAATAACAAAAAGAAGACGAAAATGTAAAAACTTAACAGGGCAGAAATGTTAAATATACTCCGAGACTTCGGTGGCATAATCTTATTTAAAAACAACAGAGAGATGAAGTGACATACCCTGGCTCGAACCTCACATTGCCTAAACCTGCACTTCTGTCTGATTTTGTTGGGGCCTCCAAACTTCTTCATGTCCTTGCAGAAGTCACACAGGGCACAGTCCTCAGTCCTTTTGCAGGGCTCACATTCCCCACACATTCGGACCGAACGCTTCACCTGAGGAAAATCAAACAATGCACAATAAGAGCCATTGCATCCTAAGAAATGTGCATTAGTTACCTGACACTTGAACATGGCTATGCATTGCTGTGACACAAAGCAATGTTTTTATAACTAATCTGCAAAAATATAAAATTGAGGAGGATGAAGGATTGCTGGGCTAGGCAATATGGAAATAAAGGGGACATCATAACATTACTCAATGAAAACCAAGGCTGCCATGTAACTGGTCCCCTTTATGTGACTCACTGCAAGTAGCTACTGCATCACTACTGCATACAGTACAAGGCTTGTGCTTTAAAATGACTAAATCAGGTGCATTTGAAGTAACCTCGATGACTGCATGTTGTTTTTCCTCATGTCAGTAAGGAACGGCTCCTTTTAATTTAGAAGATCCAATTATCAAATTTTTGTAATTTGTCGATGCTCTTCAGACATTGCAGTCAAACCTAAATATTTAGGTCAACTTACTTTAGATCCACGCCGCCTTTCACTCTTATAGTCAGGGGTACTCGGGGTGCTGTACTGTCTATCAGAGCCTCGGTCATACTCAGCCTCCTTCTCTCGGTTTTTCTTTGTTCTATACTTTATTTCCAGCGAGGAGTTTTTATCTGGTGACAGGGAGAGAAAAAAAAGCAACGTCTTGTTTATTTGTGATGTATTCAACGTTAAGCTCGGCCCTCTTAAATGCTGTGATAAATAATGTGTTTTTTTATCACCTTTGCATCTCATGCAATACCATTCCCGGATTGCCTTCGCCATCTTTTCCGTGATGTTAATGCAGTGGCCATGGAACCACTCATTGCAGTTATCACAGCCACTGTCAGTGAGAGAAGCAAACGAAGAAAACACAATGTTGATCATTGTCACATCCACACGCAGCGATGATTGAAACAACAGGATTGGTGTCATGGACTTACATCATGAAACAGTTGATGTCTGGTTTCCGGCAGATGCAGTACAGGGGGGCGTTCTCCCCGTCCATGCTGCTGGTCTCAGGCCCTGGTACATGGTCAAAGTCAGACAACTCGCTGTCCTGAAACAATAAATAAACACAAGCACATCACAACTGATGGAAAATATAGCTTTGCCATGTATAATAATACACAGTGAGGACCAAGGCATGATGTCTACCATTTTAAAGTAGCTTTTTTTTATATAGCTAACGTCGTTAACCTAGCTAACTAACACCAATGTATTTCATGAAGTCGTTACAGAACTATATTTAACATTAGCTAGCGAACTCTATCATCATTACATTGTAATGTCTATAAAGAGAATTTGATGCGTTGAAATGCGTGTACAGTTCAAAATACAAGGAGCTGGTCAGCTAACCAGGAACCATAGCAAAAAGGCAAACTCCGAGTAATATCAATACATATTTTTTTTACATTTACATTACTGTATGCCGTGCACAGTAAGCTAGTCAGTTAGCATCAGCTAGCTAGCTAAGTTGTCAGTTAAAGATGGAGCTAATGCTTTTCCAGCTAACGTTACCTTTACTGTATCATATCAACACAACTTTTAATTTATCTAACACCGGAATATTATTATTCGACATTAACAGGAAGTATAGTTAAACGACATAACCTACGTTTGGATCACAACATGCTCTTGTCGGACGTAGTTAAACTTACGGCCGTGTAACCTATTGAGTTAGCTTAACGTTAGCTAACTTTGCCAAATCCGCCTTTTAATCTCATACGTACCATCGTGAGGGATCCGTAAGTCGTTCTGTAAATATATATAATAGTAGGGCAACGAATTCAACAGTAAACCTATTAGCTTAGCTCGATAGCTAGCGTTCGTTTAAGGTTGACACGGATATAACATCGCTCACGATCGGCTGACTTCGGTACTACTCGTAAAAATATCGTTGGTCGTTGATGAAGAGTTCTTCTTCTCTGGTGGCAAATTAACATCCAATGACACACTACTGCCACCTGTTGGATATGTTACAAACACACACCATTCAAATCAGTGTTACCATTATTGTCATATTATCTCCAGAAGATAAATATGTAGGATACATTTGAAATATTAATTATATTAATAAATTATATTAATATCAATTGTATTAATTATATTAATATAATATCTATTTATATTTCAGTGTATATATTGTGCATTTTTATATATTATATTTTCACTCTGTTATTATTATTGTATATATTGTTCCTTGTTCCTATACACACAAACAGAGAGAGAGAGAAAGAGAGACAGACAGACAGACAGACAGAGAGAGAGAGAGAGAGAGAGAGAGAGAGAGAGGGAGAGAGAGAGAGAGACTATGAAAGAGACTGAGAGTGATGCGGTTAAACCTCCACAGCTGACAGGTCACTGAAGGATGCATCTGTGACTAACGCTATATGTTGGATCGCCTGCTTCTAAAATATGCCATGAAAAGTGAGTTTAACTTGTTTATTACAACATTCGTATCATACAGACAGAAATAAACAATGTGGGCTTTTATGGATTCCTGTAATTGACAATAATGATGAACATAACATGTATTTAGAGGCACAGAGTTAAAGATTGTATTGCTGTGGCTATTGATTCCATGCATCCGATGAATTCGAGTATATTAAATGTTCATTATTTTTGACTTTATATGACTTTATATACCTTATTGACATCCTTTGTATCCCCTGATTACTAAAAAACCTAAAATTAATTTGTTGAAATATAACAAATAGCTTGAAATTTGGATAAAATACTTCAGATAGACAAACTTATGGTGTTTTATTCTGGAATATCTGCAGATAAAAAGAAAAACCTCAAAATGCCACTTAACGTATAGTCTTACTTGAAGACATTAATTATTAATGAATAGCAAAATCAAGATCTCACAGTTTCATATAGCTGTCAGGATATCCCCGCGCTGCCTTTCATCTAAAATATAAATGTTTCCTAAATGGTGATGAATAATAGATTAACTTCTCTGCCATCTCTGATGTCCACTCATCACTAACGGCTGCAAAACTTGCAGCTACCGACCCTTGTATCTACAGGGAATGATGAGGTTAAATTAAGTAAATAATAACGTAAGTAAGTGGACTAGTGAGTTTTATGATAGTGTTTGGATTCAAAATGAAGTCATTTTTGTAATCTTTCTTTCAGATTAACAGGTGTAGGTGTATTAAATGCCCCAATCGGGATTCTGCAGGTATGAATGAAAAGATGGGTGATGGAAGTGATGGCAAACCAAAGTTCAATGACTCAATGACTGCTTCAAAGTTCCCCGTTATACCTGAAAACTCCAGCGCAGATCCCACAGGTAGGTTTACAGAGAACCGGTTTCATTGTCATGAACTAAGCATTGAACTGCAATTTCTTACAACAGCTGAACTTCCTTTTCTTACAGGATCTTTGACTGAAGTCACTATGTTTTCAGAGCAGATCTCCACTGAGGACACTGAATTATGTCGAACTGACACCTCTGTGAATGTATTCCCAAAAGTAATAGGTACTTTAATCTGTCAACTCTAACAGCTATATGTTTCTCTAAAAGCACTTTGCATGAGGATTTATTGTTCATTTTGATGTCTGGTGCAGAAACCAGCGTGCATAAAAACCCAAAAGGTGGAGTGACCAGAGCTTCCATCTGCAGCCCAAGCTCTGTGGCGCAAGACCAGCCGAAGCCTCTATGTGCCCTGCTGCCGTCCTCTATGGAGGCCTGCACGGTCTATGGTCTGAGTCAGTCATTCGCATCAATAAGGAGTCAAGAAAGCCTCAAAGTCACCACCATCCACACCGAGCCAGATGGTGACGGTAAGGACGCAAAACTGTTGTGTATCCCTTCTTGATCTCCTCTTTCTTACGTCCTTTTTTCCCCTCAAATTCTCCCCCCCCCCTCCTAGACCTTTGTGCTGCAATCCTTATGGCCTGCCTCTTCTGTCACCCGCTGGACTGTTTACTGGCCATGATGAGAGGCTGCAACGAGTGTGTGTGGTCTCTGTGCTCGTTCCTGTGCGGCTGCGAGCCCAGCACCCTGCGGCCTCTCTTGGACGTCACCCACCACTGTGACCTCTGCGTCTGTCTGGGCGTCCGCCGCCTCCTGTGCGACTGTTCCTCCTGTGACATCTGCCTTCAGGCCTCCGAGTGCCTGGACCTCTGCATGGAGATCTCCCAAATGCTTTACCACTAATGCTGGCTGCCAGCGAATAACCACACCCAGACGTCGAAGCAATGGGAATCATTTATTTGTTAAAATCTCCCGAAAAGCCAACTTGTAATAGGACAAGACACAAATGCTACCTGTTTATGGTTAACAGTCAATGTTAGCACTCAGATATATGTCAGGGTAAGACACGGTTAATATTGTGGAGAGCGATTAACTATGAGTGGAAAAAAAGGCCGGTCATGTATGTACGTAATCTGATGGGACTACGAACAACGCAATTAGTAGCACTGAGCTACGGAGTAGAGCTGCTTTTAGCTACAAAACAAAGTAGTCTACATAAGTTCTGAATGAACAGGAGAGGACACTTAAAAATCACCGTCACCACCAAAAAGCAAAGATGTTTTTTGACTGCTGAATAGTTTTTAAAAAAGTATGCATATCAATAACTTGGAGGTTGTGTTGAAGGAAAAAAAAGAAAATCAGTGCGTCAGTGTTAACAAAAGAAAAGAAAAATAACTACACTTATGCAGGAACTTTCTCAAACACTCATTAATTTACTGTACATAAGGTCACGTTACGCATCTGACAAATAATAAAAATGCCTTTCTAAAACTTTGTGGCTATTTTATTGAATAATGGTTGCATTGCAGGTTTCACACAACAAACAGTTATACCTTATTACAGATGTGAGGCTAGTGGTTGGTTTGAAAGAAGGTCAAAGCCCTCTGAATTCATACTACAATGAGCATTATCGCATTATTAGATATATCAGCTTTGATCGTCAAAAACCCCCCAAAAAGAAGCCACAGTCTTGGTAGAACATGCTAATCACTCAGTGACCGGCCGCCAAGAATAACAGACAATCACCGACGACACAGATATTAGCCAGGAGAAACTACCGAGTAAACTATTATTCAGGTATCAAAAAGACTACTGTAATGAACTACAGTACTACTGAAAAATTGTTCTGCATCTCTCATACTGTCTTGCATTTCCATTGACTCTAGTGAACATATTCAAAAATAAAAATGCTGATTTTGCAATTTTGTAGCTACTCTGGAAGAAGTCCTGCTTTGGCCGACTAGCTGCAGCAGCAAGTGAATGTTCCATTGCTTTTTAAAATGTATTACAAACACATGCAACCTGGGCATCAGCTGTCCACCGTGTGCGATCGTAATAAAAACAGACAAAAGCTCTCATAAAATGCATAGACTGCCAAAAAATAAGGTGCAATTAAATTGCTCAAAATAAAATATTCTTATATACAATATGCAGTAAATATCTCACAATGTGCCAATTCACCTTAAAAAAATCCCTTCTGCAGCTGCTGGTGAGACAACCCAACGTGGATGTGACCGCTATTAACAAACCCTGATTCCAGTCAGTCGAAAAAAATAAAACACACTGTATGTTGGCATCTGTTCATCAGTGTTGTTGTGAAAAAAAGAAACCTCACAGCTTTCTTCCCTATAAATGAGCACATAATAAATTCAAGCAAACTTTATATCCCTCTTAAATCTCTGAAGAAAAAAATCTTAAAAACTATATAAGAATGGAAATATATCTTTATGCTAAGTCCATGCCCCTATCGTATAATATTTCATTTTAACAAGATTGCATTTATAAACCCAGACATAATCATCTGACCAGCTCCAAACAGGAACAATAATATTTAGGCCTGTATGGCAAAAGAAGAAAGAAACAAATCAAGAAGAACATGTTAGTTTTGATCTTAACGTTAGCTGTTTTTGCTTTTCTAAGTTCAAATTCACAGTCCTATAAATAGACTGGCGTTATTTAAGGACAGACTGCACTTTCCGCCATTCTTGTCCCTACAGACAGTCTCTGACAGCCACTCGGGGCTCATCACAAGTCCTCGTCCATTTCAAGGCTGCTCCTGCGACTGCTGGATTTAGAGGCACCTGGTGACAAGGGGGAAAAGAGCGGCTCGGCCATCCTGTCCGGAGACAGAGTGCACCCCTCGTCCATGAGAAAGTCTGCCAAGCCCACGTCGGGGTAAAGTGCTGAGGCCGAGCTGTCGTCTAGCTCGGCGAAGCTCAGGCTGCCCAGGTCCAGGGGGCTGCTGATGGTGACTCCTGCGGGAGAGTCCGAGGAGGGCGGGGACAGGAAGGAGGTCGGCAGGGGCTGCCCGATGCCCACCCCGCCCATACCGAGGAGGTTTTGGGAGGAGACGCCTTCTGCACCGGGAGGCAGAGACAGACCGCTATGTGGGAGCTGCTGCTGTTGGAGCTGAGATAGATCAGGACTCAGGCCGTGGAGCTGTGCCTGTATTTCCAGTTCCTGAAAACAGCAGCAGACAGACAGACATTCAGATGCCATGTTCTGGAATGATTGCAAAGGTTGTTTTGTTACAACACCTCGGAGCTCTTTATGCATTTCGCATGTGAAAAGTAATTTCCCTACAATAAACAACACCTTAAAGTGGCAATAGACAAGTTGTTTGCTTTTACTTATTAGTATGGAGGCAGACTTAGTTGCATGCTAATTTAAGCTATAATAAAAACAATCATTAAAACAGAGCACAGATTCCCACAACACATAGTTGCTTTATCATCTCTGTAGTCTGAAGAAACTTATTTCACCCAGGCCCGTGGTGTGTGTGTGTGTGGCCCGAGACACAAGACATTTGGGGACTCGCTCATCACTGTGCAGGGCCTCTATTGGTCCAAAACCCCACAACGTGCCTTCAAGGTATGTAGACGAATTTAAAGGCAGAATGAGTAGAATATTCCCAAAAACTATGTATCAACTGATACAAAAATAATCCTTCTCAATCACTAAAAAATGTGTGTCTGTACCTACAGAAGCCAGCCCTCTACCTGTATTTTCTTATTTTGTTGCGTTCGTTTCTGGGCGTCAACTTCTATAAAAACGTAGCGACCAGATGCCAGATCGTAAGCACGCATCGAAAAAAAAAAAAAAAAAAAAATGCAAATATAGCAAGCACCCTTACTCTAACCTCTGGTGTCGTTGAGCCAGGAGGAGGGGCCAAACTTTAAATATTGTGTTTACAAACCATGGCCCACCAATCCTACCCATTCTGCCTTTAACTTCCAGAACTAGTCGAGCGATACGTAGCTGTTTCCTGTCTTGGATCTGCCAACCGGACCAACGAACACTGACCTGGATGCGTAACATTAGACCGTGATTTGCAAGCTCCAGCTTTTTCTGACGCATATCGATATCCTTGGATCTCTGCTGCTCCTTCTGCAACTTCCTGATGTAGTCGACCGAGGCTTTCAGGATGGTGCCTTTATTCCAGCGCATCTCACTGACATCATTGTGATATCAGTAAACATGTATTTTACAGACAGCGAAGAAAGGAAACACAATAGAAAGATTTTTAATACACAACAGTTGCAGGGATTGATCATTTTCGTAGGAAAGGAAAATGAATATCCTGAAAAATGTGACTGCCTGCGCTTACGGGTCATTCGTCTTGGGTATCAGAGTACCAAGCTCCTTTATACGGTCGTTGATGTTGAATCTCCGCCTCCTCTCAACTGCAAAGAGCAACAACGACAAAGCAACACGTTAGTTTACCTTCAACAATCAGTTATCACTAATAATAATAATAATAATACATTTTATTTATATAGCGCTTTAAAAAAAAGGTATTCAAAGGCTCTTTACATTGTTAAAACAGAAACAATAAAAGCAATTACAATGCAAACAAAAGAGATGACATAACAGTAAGAAACAAAAAATAACTAAGCAAGCTTTGTTAGAAATACATGGAAATGAGCAGACAATAAAGATCAAATGGGTTTTCCTAGAGTTGAAACAGGCAAAAGATCAAATCACAGTGGGATACTGTGATTTTGAATCTACACGGCACATTTCCTCCAACTGTCTTTCTGATGTGAACTGCATTCACATTCAACGAATTGCTCAAAACGGCTGAAATAAAGCTTGACTCACTGAGGTTATGGTTGTCTTTCTTCTGCCTTTCTTTCATTATTGCTTTGTTGTCTACATCTGGAAGACAAATACATAGTGTTCCATACAATTCAATATTACAAACAAAATGTTCTCCTAACGCTAAAGAGCAGTCAAAGACGCTTGTTGGTAAAAGTTACGATACCGTACCGGTAATTTCCCTTTTAATTTTTGGAAGATCAGCAGGGCAGGAGTTGCTGACAGCGAAAGTAGGTGCTGCCATTCCAGGGCTATGGTATACATCCAACAGATTTCCTGGGAGCTACAGGAAATAGAGCATGTTAAAATACATATAGACAATCACTGATTACCATACCTAGAAGCAAATTTGTAAGAAGTCTTCCCCCTCCCTGCTTAAACGTTTTCAAAGACATAATTCAAAATAGAATCAAAGCTGGTTTCCGTCAGATGAACGCTACTAAATCCTGCACAGAGCAACCGTGCCACAAAAAAAGAGGCAGGTATTACAATTCCCTTTTAAAACTAAACTTTACAGAATAAAACCATTTAATATTACATATTAAAGCTGGACAACAATACCAGGTGCTATTTCAAAAATCACATAAAGCATTTACCTTACAGTGCTTCTTTTTCTTGTCTTCCAAAAGCATAACCATAATCCTCATTTTTTTTGTTTTGCGGCAGAATTTTGGTAAAAGCTCTTTCTATCCTGACAAATGATTGGTTAACCTGGCAACTACAATGTACTTTGGTATGGGTACAATCCACTCGCTTCTCCCGGTCTTGTATCCTCCGATACCTTCACCCCGCCCAGGCAGCACGTTCGTGACGAATAGTAACTGAGTGCCAAAAGTATATATTTACTCCTACGACTTCAGAATTCCACACAAAAAAGAGGCCGTCCATTCAAAGAAAAAAACACTTTTGGTATCAAAAGCTAATTGGTTTGACCTGAAACCCAGTGTTATCCTGAGTGTGCATCAAATGAAGAGCCTGTAAACTCTAGAGGAAACTTTAAAAAGGAAGTATTTACAGCAAAATAAATAGATTGTTCTACATACCGTGCAAGGCAACTGAAGCCCTGAGTCAATCAACGTAATGATGTCGTCATTGAAACTGGATTCAAGACTAATGATGTCGTCTATCACATCGTCAATCTAGATAAAGCAGATGAGAGAAAACACCATTGTTACTTAATCAGTAAAGTCCTTCGGGTTAAATGTGTCGGAGTAAACATGTATATACATAGTGTGCTTTGTAAATCTAAAACAGTCTCGTATAAGTATACTCTGTAAAGGCTGACACTAAACATTTAAAAGCAACTAAAGAGGCCTGATTTGTCAGAGACGGGTGTGTGCTGGCATGGTTACACTGTAGGTGCAGTATTTCACATGTTATTGTGACAACAGGCCAACACGGGTACGACGACAAAAGGCGTGCATCAGCGCAGTGGGACCTTTGGACACATCATTCCAGAGCAAACAAAAAGTAATTAAGCTAGAAGTGAGCAAAAGGTTAGACATTTAACTTCTCCAAAATTGCACTGCAAGTTTGCAGAAAGACAACGGTTGACAAGGTTTTGCAATCTGCTGAACCAGCAAAACCGAAACCACACACAAGAAGTTACACCACTGGTATGAAAAGGGGGAATTTCCCATACTTCCTCCTTGTTGGATCCGATGTTGAGCAGAGCCATAGGACTGTTAGGGGCACTGCTGGCAGTGGGAGCAACTTCGGGGGCGGAACTGGACTGCGGCACGGGCGACAGGCCGATGGTCTGAGTAACCGCGTTGTTGCCCAGAGTGGTGGAGAGGTACTGCTTCACCTGCTGCCTCTGTGCCTGCTGGATGTGGTACTTGGTGGGGTTCTCCAAGTGGGTCTGCACCTGATCATTTAAAGAGGTGTTAATGTTCTGAGATAATCCCGAACTGCACTAAATCAAGAACAAACGAGTGACGGGCGAATAAAAACAGGACGCTCTTACTTTCAGCACCTCCACAGGCACCTGTGCCGGAGGGGGGCGGGCAGCATTCGGGGGTAGCGTGACGGAGATGGCTGGAGTGGAGTCAGAGGCCCGGAGCAGAGAGGCGGAGGCCTGCTGCTGGGCCTCACGTCGCTCCTGCTCCTGGGCTTGTTCTCGCATCAGCTGCTGCCGCTGCAACACGCGTGACGACATGGCTGAAGAGAGCGATCAAGATCTAGGGATGGAGCTGGAAAACAAACAGAACAAATGAGCGTTATCCATCGGTAATGCCAGTAGTATTTCAAAGTATGTAACGGTATTGTGTTATTAAACAGCACTATAGTACTCTGGTGATGATGCTTTGGTTATGCAGATGTTACTTCCATCATTGGGACCTACAACATAATTACCAATGGAAATATTGTTATAAGTTGTACAGTAGCAGTTAGAGGCTATAATGTGGGCAATATTTAACCAGACTGTTAGTAACCTATTCTTTGGCAACCTGCACAATCTAGGAATCTGACTTAACACTCTCCACCCACCGCTGATGCCTCACCAGGAGTTGATTGTGAAAGAACCCTAGTGTCTTTGTCATTAAAATGCACACATCTGGGCCAACATCAGCCTTCTATGTATTAATTGAATTGCCCTCAGCTAGTACCACTACATGACCTAAAGTACACTGTGCTGCACATAAGGTCAACCTCTTTCTTTACCTTCATCTGAGATGGTGTGGGCTTATGAAGACCTCTTCGGGCTCTAACCAAAAAGCTGGATAGGTTAACTTTCTTTACACGCAAACCAGCCTTTACACCTCACGGATCTCCGATTTTGCAAACGGTGACTTAACGTTGTAAACCCCCCTCAGAGTAAAAAAGAATTAGGTTCACTTCACTACGTTTCCAAACCCAAAATCCAGACACTTAATTCAAAACACGTCGTAACGAGTTGTGTAAAGCTAACGTTGCACAACTGCAGAGTGCATAGCGTGAACTAAGTTAGCCGTCAGTGTCGCTTTCTCCTGTGGGTCAGTTAAGGTTAGTTATGTGAAAATAGTTTTCGTAATCTCTTGTTTTCGGTGAGCTCTAATCTCGCGTCATGACAGCAGAGTTCACTTTGACAGCTCAGTGTCGCTCAGGGGCCCACACAAACGAAAGCTAAAGCTAACGTTAGCTCGTATTTACATCACCGAAGCTTTACATTGGCTTCAGTTACTCAATGTTACCAGCCGCAAACTGGAAGGAGGTTAACGAAAGCTTGTTTGTTGACAGCAGCTGTGTATCAGTAGCAACTTGAGACACAAGTCAAAGCAAAGTAAACATACGAAGTTGCAGTTTATAGCTAAGCTAGCTAACGTTACCGTGCACCCGTTAGTTGCCCCCCCAAAAGCTAACCTAATGCTAGCTAGCATTTTAGAGGTAAATATAAAGAACGTACTGTGGCAATAGATTTTTTCTTTTAGGTAATCACAGCCATAAATCTCCGAGGTCATCCGGTTTCTTTGCCATAGTTAAGTCATTTTTGTTACAAGCTCTTCAACAGAAGTTAGCCGGGGCTCTGACAGTGTTGTTTATCTCGGGATGACGTCGTCCGTCGCGGGTTACCCGGAAGTTGTTGACTGCTGTGAGGTTGCATATTTTCAAAACGGCCTAGTTAGTGCAGGTACATACAGTATATATCTGAAGGTAGGTTCATAGTTTAAATAAGATACAACTGTAGTGTTTGGATGCAAACCAGTGTAGTCTGGGATGGCAAAAAAAAAGAGAAGTAACTTCAATCTGTATTTGAAGTTATCAAATTATGCAAAATATGATGCAAGTATCATGCCATGCAGGAGCAAACAATTTGATCACATTTTCAAGTGATTTTAAGGAACAGTGGCTGAACAGTGATATCATTTACCTCGTGAAAAAAAACCATGAAAGCATATTTTTTTTATCATGAAATGATGGATCAAGGTTCCCAGAAGCAAAAGTTTTGCACGTGGTTTTTATCACCTTATCTACATAAATCAGAATACTGCTACTTAGATAAAAAAAAATAAAACAAGACACAAATAATATGTATTAATTTATTTTTTTTTTATTTTTTTTTATTTATTTTTTTTTTTTAAAATCAGCCATCTGAAAATGAGAAGTCCATTGCAGCCGTCAAGGTGTCTGAGAGTTTGGTGGCAATTTTGTCTGCAGAGAAAAAAAAGAGAAAACTATAAGTTGAATTTTGCATGATTAAACATCAGCGTAAAAGGTGTTGAGAAAACACATCACTCCTTACAGAAGCTTGCCTGTATGTGTGCAGGATTACATGCTCACCATCTGCTTCATGAGGTGGAAAACAAACACTACAGACCAATAGAACCTTTTACACAGGAATAGAGGTCTCTTTCACAGGGCACATCTAAGGCCTGCTGAACCACATCAATGCTGAGGTATAATATTCCCATCATCAACTGATGAAGCTTAAATCTTGGGTGGTCTTGAAGGTCATTTTTTTTCGATGGCTTGTTTACAACAAAACTAACATGAGGTTGTAGAGTAATTTTGTTTGTTTACTTCTTCACACTTTAAAAAGTGTTTTCAGACAAAATCTGAAATATATATAAACATATACAGTATTAGACTGAGACCAATATTTATGAGACCAATATTTATACAAACCAGCTCTTTTCTGCTGCTTTTTCCTCTTCTTGCTGGCAGCCAGGAGTGCCTGACCCTGCTGTAGAGGTTCTACATCAAAGATATCCTTCAAATCTGGAGCTCTGGGTGCAGCATCATTTGCAGGCAGGTTGGTTTTTGACCTCTGAGCTTTTATCTCCACCGTCATTGGTCCAAACTATTTTGAGTAGGAAGGAAAGTTAAGTTAAAGAAGACAAATTTGCTAATTGGATAAAACATACTGTTAAAACACATAAGCTGAAAGGACTGCGCTGTTTCACACCTCTGGGTCCTGGCCATCCTCCATAGATTGAGTTTCGTCTTGAACTTCTGGCTCTTCTAAGGACCCCCCCACCATTTCCAGGTCAGACGGTGGTTCACCTTGACCACCTTGTGTCATTCCAGTGGTTTCCATGCAAAATCCCATTTGGACATCAGGACAAGATGACACTGAAAGACAGCGAAAAGCATATCTAACTTTGGAACATCTACTGCTTCTTTGCGGTGTGATACAATGGAAGGCATAACGTAATGTCACTTAAACTTAGTGGTGTGTAGACTTCTGGTTTTGAGATGCCTGCCCTTGGAACTACTTTCCCTTACAAAGCAGCCCAATGAAAACTGTTGACAGTGAGGTCTGTGGTGTATCCTGAAAAAACTGGGTCAACATTTCTGGATTCCACTAGAAGTAACTTTTACCTGCAAGAACCTCCTGATTTCCCTTTTCCAGCTCATCCCAGTCAAAAGCTTTGCCCATCTCGGTGACGATCTCAGCGCTGACGTGTGTGGGAAGGGTGTGTGTCTCTGGAGGGTGTGTGAAGTAGCTGATCCTTCCCCTAAATAACAACATTCTGAAATTAGCTCAGTGTAATGACCTGCTTGATTGTCATTTATCAAAACAACCAAAATCTAAATTTTAAACTCACCCTGTCCAGTCCATTAGCACACTCTTTGCTGCTTTGTCGGCGTCGGGCAGTCCTCCCTTTTTCAGTTTGCCTTGACGTCGAGCAAGCATTGCCAAGAACTCCAGAGGTGTGTGAAAGTCTGAAACCCCGTAGTGCTCCATGATCTGAACATTCAGCAAAAGTACTGTCACGGCAGTGTGCGAAAGACACAATCAGGCCACACAGACAAAAAGGTTGTGACGACACGACAGACCTGCGCCTTGTTGCAGCGGCGAAGGATGGCTTCGACGGGTGGAAGAGGATCTACAAGCTGTTCGATTTTCACACAGTTGCGAAGAATCATTGCCGCATCAGTCGTGGAAGTCGCCATGACAATGCCGGGGCAATCCAGAAGCTTGATGTGTTTGTCCAAGTGCACCTCTTGAAGGCACCTGAAATTCACCAAAACCCCATGAGCAAGACTAGAAGTGGACAAGCAGGATTTCAGGATCATCAGCTTACTTGTACTTACTTGGTGACACCAGGAGTGGCTCCGACACTACACGCTCGCGCCCGTTTCAAACTGTTGATCAAACTGCTCTTTCCCACATTAGGAAATCCTACAAAACAAGAGGAGGGGGGGCAAATGATTTCACTGTGGACAACCTTCGACATATACAAAGAAAGGACCCGGTGCATTGCTGGACGTGGAGGCTTACCTACAACACCGACGGTGATGGCCGTCTTTATGTCTAGGTTGCGGCAGTAGTTGCCGAGTAGCTTCATCAAGCAATCTGCACCAAGACAAGCGCTGGTACTGAGCAGCTCCGTGGTGGCTTGTGTCACTGGTACGTTACTGCGTTTCTGTCCGCGGCACGAGACAGAGGAAAGAACGCAAAATGATGTTATTCTGTAGTTTTACTTTCTTTTTTTTATTTTTTATCTCAATTTGCATTATTAGATGATCAAAGTATAATTTTTAACTGCATACCAAGTTCTTGTTCTGTTGCTGAGTAGATGCTTTGAAAGCTACTGTGGGAAACTCATTACGGAGATATTTAATCCACTTTTCCACGATTTCCTTCGACACCAAATCTATAATCAAAAGTATTCAAATAAATTCACAGAATAAATAAAACTACTGTGTCATCAAATTATGGAAATACAGACAACCCCTAAAAGATATACTTTCTAAATTAATTTACCAATTTTATTAAGCACCAAAACGATCTTCTTGTTCGTTCCACTTTGAATGACCGCCTGCTCCACCTGAGGACATCTGCAGCCCAGAGGGTCACGTGCATCCAAAACCTCCAAAATCACATCCGAGGCGTCCACTACCTTTAAAAAAAAAAAAGAATGTTTGTGTTCAAAATCCATTTCCCCCTCCTCTATTATGCTTCTATCACAGCTGAAGGACCAGTGTGATTTAGAAGGCAGGACATATATACCAGCCTACATGTGTGTATGTATACGGGCAGGATGTCTTTGACTGGAGATTTTTGAATCACCACGTGAGAGAAAGATGCATTTATTGAAAGATGATTGCCTGATTTGTGGTAGTGTGTAGTTTAAGGTGTTTTCCAACATTCATTGACTTCTTTGAAAGAGGTCAAGAGAAAAAGTGCTGAGTGCTATTTGTATGTATACGAGCATGTGGCATGTATGGGGCAGCTACGTACCTTTTTAAATTCTCTGTAATACGCCTTTCTCGAATTCTCATTTTCAAAAATAACATTCTTCTCCAAACTCTGCATCTCAATTTCCTGTGAACACAAAGAAGAAAACACAAATCACTACAGTGGGATTCTGCACAGTGTGCAGTTATTTTAACTGCAGTCTAGTTCTGCTGAAAAGACGGACATTTACCTTCTGATCGAACTGTCTTTGTCGCTGTAGGATGTCATTCTGGAAGCTTTGCAAATTCCTCCTCTTCATCAGATCTCGTTCTCGAGAGATTTTCTGCCTGTCCTGGAGGTCCTGAAGCTAATTAGGAAATATATAAATCGAGAGATTGGTTTACCTCAAGATAATAACCAGCAGTGTAACCTCAAATAGGGGCACAGGCAAGACTTTCAAATGTTCACCCTTTGCTTCCGGACGTCTTCTGGTTTTCTGTGTCCTCTGACATGCTGCACAGATGACTGCTCTGAACTCTTTGTCTGCCCTGAATCATCATCCTTTCCTCCATCTTTGGTCTGCAGGCAGAAAAACATACAAAATAGCCTATATTGTAAAGTAATTCATATTCTTTTTGCAACAGACCAGTACCACCACACATGAGTGTGACGAACAGAGAAACTCTATAGTTTCTCTGCTCGTCTATTAGTGTGTGTGTGTGTGTGTGTTTTAGCATGCTATACTCAACCATCCAAAAGTCAGGAATCACCTGTTATATAGTCCATTTTAACAGAGATAAAAACTGTATTCAGACACCAAATGTATTATTTACATTTTAAATAGTTTTGGACCCAAAAGAAGAAGAATTAAATTAATCAAACTTTAATTTAGTTTGTCAGGGGTGAATACTGTTGTGCACTTGACACTGGAACCTGTTCCTATTTTAATCTTCACAGATTGTGATGCTAAACTCCCAATTTATTTTTTACCAATGTCTTTACCAGTGATTTTCTTCTATTCTTATTTTGGCAAACCGTTCAAACTAAATAGCAACTAATTGCAAAGAGGACTTTGTAAAACCTAAACGCATGAAAGAACATTAAAATAAAAAATAAAATATATATAAACACACACACACACAGTAGTCCTCTCAGTACTGTACCAAATCAAGCTTTTGTGTCAGGTAAACCTTTGAACGTTTGAGTATCATCTACAAACACTGCACAGTGTGGTTTGTTTATGGGCACATGCACAGTGACACTGAGGCGTCTGAATGCTACATTTATACTTAAGTCAGCAGGTTTGGACTCGTGTCGTCAGCTCCAGCACTAAAGGTTAGCCACAGACAACATTAGCCGGAGTCGCACTTACCTTAATTTTTCCGAGGAAGCCGAGACGTTTGGCTCGTTTTTGTTCTGCAAGAAACGACAGAGTTCATTCAAAACCATCCAAAGTTATTTAGCGAGTCAATACATTTAGTCAAACATGTAAAAAGAAATACGTACTAGCTTTGGACATGGCTTTACCGACAGTCTTTTTCTTCTTCTCTGAGTTCACGTGTGTGGCAAGAGGGTGAACAGTCGCACAGAGTGACGTCACCCACAACATCCGGCTAATCGTCAAAATAAAAGAGCGACCTGGGCAGGAGTCGCAGGAAACACCATCTGCATTTTGTTTTGGGATCCCAACCCAAGAAAGATAACATCTGATCGAGGAATTTCATTGTTGTCGTTTTTATTTAATTCACTTCAGCACAAAAAGACATTTTATATACACTGGCACTGCAGTATTCATCTTGAAAGCATCGAAATACTTTGGGGACCATGAATGTACCACATTTAAGTTAATAAGTTTGACCTGCCAGTGGCTCTGGAGGAAAAGTCAGTGGATCACCAAAGCCAATGGATTTGTGCTTTTGG